CGTTCTCCACCGGATAAAGTTTTATCCAATGGATAGCGCTATCCAACCTTCGAATAACCGGGGCCTGATTGTTAATTCTCCTCTCTAGCTGCTACAAATTTCCTTGCAAATAAGTTACGAGAATTTGGAGCTAGATCAAGATAACAATTTCTAGATCATAAGCTTGAGTACTCTGAGCACCTGTTTGCTGGAGAATGGAAGGATATTATAGGGAGAAGTTACATGTTGATCACTTCTGAGAGTTAAACGGTTCAATTTGAAAAGTCAGTCCACACATTCACAGAAACCACTTTTAGTTTGACCTACTTTCCGGGAATGAATGATAACTCAAAAAATATTCCTTTGAAAATTATCCTGCAAGACAACTGCCAACTTATTGGAGTCACTAAGGAGTCAACTTATTGTGTTTTCATTTGAGCGGGCGAAGTCATGCGGCGCGCGAGAGAGGCGACACGACACGACTTAAGAAATGTAAAGAAAAAACTTCACGCCTACAGGCTATTCGAAGATTAAAGCAGCTGATTGAATTCTTGGATGCATATAACATTTAACTACTTCCCTTTAGGTGAATGCACTTTTCAGAGACGAATGTCAGACCGGGCGTTATAGCGGAACTTGCTGCGCGCACGAAAGGCAACCAGCGTAGCCATATACCTTAGAGAAATTGGTAACCCACCCCTTCCCTCTAAAACCCGTGTTTCTTCCCTCATCAGACGATCATTCCTTATCTCCATATTTCATCAAACAGGAATATTTTTTTGGCTCCCTCTCCAGACTATAGAAACATCAAAATCGTCCCTATTGGCAAACAAGACCTTCATTCTGTAATATAAGATTTCATCGATTGACTAATGTTATATACTTGCTTGCAAAAGCTTCCTGAAAATTTTTTATCTATGAGTCACTCAGTGATATAATCATTTCTTTATTAGTGGAGGTAATCTGACGATATCGAGTTAAATTTTTTGTAAATAATCCCGTTTATCATTTTTTTTAAGCCGAAAAAATTGCACGAGACTATAGGAAGAGTGGATTTTGATGTATCTGGGGAAAAATTACGAGTGCTTACTTATTCCAAACTTGAATTGCACGAGAAAAAGCAAGTCATCGCTTATTCATTTATAGTTAATCATACCTTTTATACCTGCAGCTTTTCATGATAATGCAGAAGCAAAGAGGGTTGAACTGAGCGAAAATAAATTCATTCAAACCAAAACGTCATCATACGTTTTGTGAAAGAAAGTGTTTAATGAAAAGCAATTTTTTTCGACATTCCTCTCTATCTTACGTAAAATAAACAAGTCTTTATCGCTTTTTCACAACTGACCATTTCCTGCCTCGCATTGGTGTTGCCTGAGATCTGTATTTCAACCAATCAGAATGCAGAAACTACTTCATATATACTATTACATGCCTAGGTGTCCTATACAGCCTTTATGAACATGAATGTGTTCTAGACTAAAAAAAAATGCTGTATAATAGAAAATAATTCATTTACTTATGAAATGTTTCCAAAACCATGTCAACTTTCAGACCTTTAAATACAATAAGAAAATAATAAAAACGCAGGCAACGTTGCACAGACATACACTTCTGGCTCTTATCACAGCGGATTATTTTTAAAACCTCCAACACTGGCAACTTCTCCTGTATCCTACATGCCATATAAGAACATCAATTTCTCGCAAGGTAAGACCTTAAAAAAAAAAAACAAAAAACAATGAGTATCTTAAGCGAATAAACGTCTATCTCGAAACCAATTGAACAACAATTTGCTGAATAAAAGATGTTGAATATCTTAGTACAAGTCGCCTACGTGCCACTGATAGCCCAATATAAATACCCAACATACGATTCATTCGGATCGGCTTTAAAATTGACGGGACAAACAAACCAGTAATTTACATTTTGGCATTGAAGACGGAGCAAAGATTAATTAAGATTATCTCACCAACCTGAGATAATCATCGCCGGTTGTTTAACTCACTGTTAGCTACGTGACTCAGCAGTAAGTCAAGAACATCTGAGCCACGTGATGAGGCAAGATATT